TCCGGCGGTGGCGGTCATGGCCCTCTCGGCGAAGCGATCGGCGTACTGGAAAACATCAGAAGGCCGCTTGTATAGTAAGGTTCCCATTTGTTTTGACCGGGAGAGGTGAGTGATGGTTCCATTTATACACTTGAGATTTGGGCGGCAGTGGAGTGCAAACGTTGCAGGACGTGCAATAGCCGTTGTGGTTCGGGTTCGGGTGATAGCTAGGAGTTCGGGTCAGTTGCTCATCGTTGAGGTAAGGGCTTGACTCTTCGTCAGCGAACCGTTCACGTTACATACTTTCGGTTCACACTAGAGGACCAACGCGCGCCGATTCGTTCTTACTATTGTCTAGACGGTGATAGACTGGTTGGCGGCTGATGCAGTCTGCAGAGAAGTGCTAGGTGCTACGGAGCATGAACGTCGCGAAATTCATCTAAAACCGAGACCGTTTGAGGTTTACTAGGATTCTTGGCGTGCTGCTTTCCGTTACTACTTCCGACCAGTCACGCACCCTAGACCCACTCGCCACAAACAACACTCACTAGGACTCAACAAGTATCACTTGGGCATGTTCTAGTTCAACGCACCTCTCGCATGCGTGAGTTTCGAGACGACTGCTGGTTCAGGACGGTAAGCTCGTCTGTCAGCCTCTGGATATCTTGCTTGCAATCCTCTGTCCTAGCTTTGGCCGCGTCTTCTTCCTCCTGAGTCTGCCAACATCGACAGGTTTTGCAACAGTTTGAACGGAAGACAGTGGATAAAGAGTGTTTGTAGAAATAAATATCTGCCTGCAAACCTGTGGAGAGGCGGCGAAAAGCATCGTCGAGTTCCATGTGTGGCATATGCGTGCGCAGAGTTGGGATTATCTAGAACATGTGCCGTGGGTGATGGGGGAGTCAGTCGACCAGACCTCACAACAAGACCACGTACTGTTCGAATACGTGTGGAACCTCACCGGCAATGCAGGCGGCTCGGGCTCCTCGGAGTAGCTGACGTGGAGAATCGTACAATGCCCGGAGCCCTTGACTCTGATGCTCGTTTGGTCGATGAAGCCGCGGGGAAGTTCTGCGAGTTCCACCTTCCGAACATGGGGTGTGGGGGGGTCGTGCTCATGTAAACGCATGCCGGAGTTGGTAGACCATCGACCTCGCATCCCTACGATGTCGGTATGGAGCGATATGCCGGTTATTCGATGGCCCAGGGTATTTTTCACAAGCATGAACCAGAAATCAGTCATCATCGTTGTGTGTGCCGTACGAAACCACATATGCTACGGGTTGATTAGGAATCCGTGCATACTACCTGAATAATATTCGGCAGGCACGATCACACTTTAAGTACCGCAAGGGACTTCGGTCTTTGCGCGCTCGTACGA